GTGCTAGGCCTGATAAATCCTTTATTAAGCAATTCTTGTAATTAATCTTTTAATTCCTTCAACTTTTTTATTGCCATCTGATAAGGGGCTTTAGCAATAGGATCTGCTCCACTAACTAGCTCAATAGTAAAATCAATCTCTCTGCTTGGAGGTAAACTAGATAGATCATCTGAAAACTCTTCTGGATTCTCTTGCACAACAGGTATCTCCTCTAACCCCTTCTCTTCTTTCTTCTCGTCCTTAATATAGGCTAAAAAGCCTTCATAATCCTTCCTCAATAATTTGTATGCCATCAAGAAAGAGACTAACATGGAAGTTATGCTTTTTTCTCCTATGAATTTAAATTCTTTCTCTCATGGCATGCAAAATTTAAGTTCTTTCTTATTACAGTCTATGGTCACAAAGTGGCAAGACAACCAAACCATACCTAGGATCATATCAAATTCCATTAATGGCAATAACATAAGATCTGCTCCCAAGTTTTTATCACCTACAGTCAATTCCATATGACACTTTTTGTTGGTTTCCAGCCGACTCCCATTGGGCATCAAAACTGATAAGGGCTTGAGCATAATTGGAGGAGATAAGTCAACAGATTTAATAAACTCCTCCGAAATAAAAGAATGCAATGCTCTCGTATCAAACAACACATTGACATGCTTGTTACATACAAAGATTGTTCCTAAATACCATGCATGTAACATACCATAAAACTTATCTTACTCATATATCATGAAGGAAATCATTGACATTAAATAAAGTCCATACCTGTGATAACATCAGGAGAGTCTTTGGCTTCTTGTTGGGATAGACCATAAACCCTTGGCTGAATAGGTTGACAAGCTTGGCCTTGAGATGGAGTTGATGCAGTAGACTCCAGCATCATTGGCCTTTTAATTGTTCTCTGGGGAGCACTACCTATTCTGGCCTCTAGGGTAGACTTCTGTCCCAAGATAGGGCAAGATTTTGCCATGTGCCTTGGTTGATGGCACCAGAAACAGTTATTTGTGCCAGAAAGACACTCTCCCTTATGAGCCCTCCCATACTTATTGCATATAACAGGAGTGCTGCTCTCTGAAGTGTTAGGCTAGGGCTTCTTCCAGTTGGGTCTTCCAGACTGAAAATATTGGAAGACTTTGATCTATCTTCATTCTCTCTCTTTTGAAAATCTCTTCTTCTCTGAGTACTCAGCAAGTCACTCTCAATTCTTCTTGCCCTTTTAACCCAGGTAGCATAATCCTCAATGCCAAAAGAGATTAATGGTTGTCTAATGGTATCTCTTAAGCCACTTAGAAAGCGATGACATTTTTCTTCAGCATTTGGAATTAAATGAAAGGCATACTTAGAGAGCATTGTAAACTCAGCCTCATATTGTGCAATGGTTCTATCGCCTTGTACCAATCTATTGAATTTGTCTTGCATTTGTCTTCTAGCAGACATTGGTACATATCAGTCTCTAAATACCTTGACAAACTCCTCCCAGGTCACTTGGCTGCTAGGTCTTCCTCCAAAAGTCTCTTGTAATTGACTTCTCCATCATCTCTCTGCTTCTCCATTGAAGGCATAGGTAGCTAAGGTAACTCTTCTATCTTGAGGGCATATCATTCCTTCAAATATCTTTTCTATTCTCATTAACCAATCATCCGCCTTTATGGGTTCACCTCCTATGAATGATGGAGGCTTCATGTCTTGAAATAATTTCAAATTTTTGTCCATTACAGTGCTTTCACTACCTCCAACCTGAGTCTGAGTACTCTTTATCATTTGGGTCATGACTGCCATCATCTGTGTAAAAGAATAATAGTATTAATGCTACTACTTTGAGGCTCTACTACTGCTGGCAGATCTCTCCTGACCTTTCCAGTATTGCCATCAGTGACATCAATTTCAGGTTCCTCAGCCCTGATACATAATGCAACGAAATAATTTAAGCAATCTATAGCACTTGCATCTTATACTTATAGGATCATCCTATTGGCTCTTTCATATTAATCAATATTCTCAAATCTTTGCTCTGATATCACTCTTTGTCACGACCCGACCCTGTTAGCTCGCAAGTGCAAGGCGGGAACGAAGATCGGATAGTAAGAATTAAAAACTTTCACATTTCATTATACAAAACATCTTCCAATCATAAGAAAGAGCCACTAAAATAAAACCAAGAGGGAAATTTTCTTTCTTTCTATTCGTTCAACGACACATCTTCATAATAAATCAAAAAATAAAGTTTTCAAAATATGAAAGATGTCCAAAAACATTTCCTTACATATCATCTCTAATCCTTCTATCTTAAAATATCTAAAACAAAAAGACAAAACCTGCCGCCCATCGTCTCCATACGACCCCGTCATTATCCTTTATTAGGTTCTCCTGAAATTTGTCACATATGCAGGGTGAGTCACAACTCAGTAGATGTAAATGTCATTCAAATAAATTTAGATACAAGGGAAGAAACTACAACATGCTTTTATATCTCAATAAAAGAATAATCATCATATTCCAACATTTGTCTAAGGTGAAACATGTCTTTACATCAACCTTTAAGTTCTCAATTTTTGCATAATCTTTCAATTCATCCTCTTTAAACATTCATGCCTCAAATAAAAGCCACATATACATATAATATAAAGATGCAATGTTCCTAATATCTTAATATATATAACATCCGTCTTGAAAGTATCATTTGTACTGATCAGGTACATAAAAATTGGCCATTCCTTTATCTTTTGGTTCAAAAGAACCTCTTTTACCATTTGGCTTAAGAGAGCTCCATTATCATTGCTCAAAAGAGCTCCTTTACCATTGATGCTTCCGCGTCAACATGCACATAATTTTTATATATTTATAAAAGAGATTTATATAAACTATTCAAGAGTATGTTTTCATATGAAAATATATATTTTCTATGCTCAAATGTACATTTGCATGTAAAGAGAAGACATGTGTAGTACATGTAAAGGATGAAGCATGAGATTCAACATTGAGTTTTAGTATTGCATAAAACAAAAGGACCTTGCTTTTACATCAAGTGATCATGAGCTTTTATAAAGAAATATGCTAGTCATAATGATATCATAAATAGCATAAAAATGAATGCCATTTCAATGTATTTGTATGTAAAGAGCTTTCTAAGTTTAAAAGAATTCCATTTTACCAATCTCACCATAATGTGATCCGTCAAAAGTCCTTACGACACTTTCCTTTTAGGCAATCAAAATCTACAAGAGACAAACATAAGGTATAAACATAAGTTTTCTCCCTCTCAAACCTTTAAAAAGCCCTAGGTTATAAACATGTAACTATTTCATACACTAAGCTTTGATTTTCTATATAACCCCTCTCTCAAACCATGTTAATCTTTTTTTTTTTAATTTCCCCTAGAACTAGGATTTCAACACACATAAAGGGTTTTTCATGTTTTGAAAAACCCTAACTATTGGAGCATGGAAAATGTCTTCTGAAAGAATCTAGTTTCACAAAAAAACAAAAAAAACTTCATAACATCATTTAGAAACTCTCTTACAAAAACATTTTGAAAGAAAATCAAAATCGAATACAACAACAACATCAAGCCTTTATCCCACTACGTGGGTTGGCTGGATGAATCCTTTTTCTCCATTGTGTTCTATTAAAGGTCAAATTCTCGTTTAAATCTAATAAAGAAAGATCATTCCTAATATTTTCTAACCAAGTCTTTTTAGGTCTGCCTCTAACTTTTTTAACATAAGTCAAATCTAATACCTCTACTCTCCTAATCGGGTCATTGGAAGGCCGCCGTTTTATGTGACCAAACCATCTAAGACGACTCTCTCTAATCTTATCTTCTACTGGAGCTACTCCAATCTTTTCACGTATATGCTCATTTCTTATCCTATCTCTAAGGGTAAAGCCACTCATCCACCTGAGCATTCTCATCGCTGCCACACTTAACTTAATATTATGCTTCTCTTTTAATGGCCAACATTCAGCACCATAAAGCATTGTAGGCCTCACTACCATCTTATAGATTTTTTCCTTAAGTTTGAGGGGTACTTTTCTATCACACAACAAGCCCGATGCATTCCTCCATTTCAACCATCCAACTTGAATTCCACTATATATATATATATATATATATTTCAAATTTCCTTTAGAGATACATGTATTGATTTGCAATTGCAAATTTTCCTCAATTGCTTGGATCTTTGTTCTCTCGTCCCACGTGTAGGATGGTTTCATGAGGTATCTTTCTTGGGTGTTTAAGATGTTTTGAATGCGTCCGCAATATTCATTTCACAAAAATGAGTAACGATAAAATGATTTCAAGTACAATTGAGGCATTTTGACACGATTCCACATTTGTTGTTTGTTGTTTCCTATTTTACTATTTTGGTTAAGCTTTTGCCTGGTGATTGCCAGCGATTTCATTAGAAATCAAATGTTTGAAGAGAAAAGTTTCTGAATTCAGCCTACCCTTGTCTAATCTGCAATCATATCTGCAGATCTGTATATTTCTCAAAGAAAGTATTATATTTTCTTGAAAAATAATAGTAAGCATAACACAGGTTTAGACCATTGGGCGAAACACAATTTAAGACTGAGCTGGTAAAATGGAAATGAAAAGAGCTGTTTGAGAGGACACGATTTGATGGAAAGGAGCTACTCAGGAAAAGATTCGCGCTACTCTTAGCAGGATAGCAAGATTTAACTTCCATGGAAGTAAAATTCGGATAGCTTTCATAAAAAATAATTAACAAAGAATCATAAAATCAACTCCCAACAGTTGGGAGAAGACTGCTGATACCAGATTGGCGATGCTTCTACTTTCTAGGATGTCAGGAAGCACTTCTACAAGAAAGCTCATTTATCATGATTTTATTTGTGACGATAAGTCAAAAAACACCTTGCATTGTCTTCCTGAACTTTGTTATACAGATGGTATTTCTTTAATTATTTAAGAGTGACTTGCTTTAATTCCTTAAACTATACAGGCTTCAATTAAATGTTTCTTGTGCATGCAGATAATATTTTTGGAAACAATTTGTAATGATGAACGTATAATTGAAAGAAATGTACGTCTTAAAATTCAGAAAAGTCCAGATTATGCGGAAGAGTGAGTTGCTTTTTCTGTCACTTTCCAATTATATCCGGATTGTTTTGATATTTCAAAAATGTCGGTTCCTTGTGTTTTAGGACTGATTTTGAAGCTGGACAACGAGACTTCAAGGAGCGCCTTGCCAATTATGACAAGGTTCTAATATTGCTTTTTAGTAGAGGAACAATTTGTAACTTTAGTGATCTTAATATTTTCATGCTTTCTCCGTCTCCATAACAAAGTTTGTTTCTTGTCAATGCAGGTCTATGAGCCTGTGGAAGAAGGTTCCTATATTAAGATGATTGACATGGCCAGTGGGAACGGAGGGCAGATACAAGTAAGCGTTCTTCATTTTTTTGTTGACTTCAACCAGAATTCAAACTTCTATATCCTTTTACAGTTAGAACAGTCCCCTGTAAGAGTCGAGGAATGGAGAAATGGGTTTTTACCAGCACTTCCTCTATTGAAAAATTTGAGATAGGTGCAGTTGAGAATTGGTAGAATTATTGTGAGAACTTGTCAATTGTCATTTGATGCCACACATATCATTCTACGAGATTTTTTAAGCCCCATCTTCCAATTAGCTAAACTACACTTTAATTGTAAATAACGGTTTAAGCTTTAGAAAACAGAGGTGTCTAAACTTAGTATGCTAGCAAGAGAGTAAGAAAAAAGCGAGGTTTTGGTGGAGAGGGAGAGGAGGGAGAGGAGATAGAAAGAGTATGAAAAGATGAATTAGGAGAAAGTGGGAGAGGGAGAAGAGAGGTGCTTAGGAGGGAAAGAGGGGTGAAAAGCATCCATGGCATGAAGCTTCATTTCTTCACTTTATTATCATCAATCCTTCATAAGATATGGAATCCCTATTTTAAAGAAAACACGGGAGAGGCTATGATGAAAACTTTGGCCATGAACCTTTTTGCAAATATCTCATGCATCCTAGTGACATGAAAATGAACGGAAATGTAACAAAATGAAAAACATGTTATGGAACAAAGTAAAGAGACAATGTCAACTTTGAAAGCAAGTTTAGAAGCATGTCAAATATTTGTGTCTATGGGGTTGTACTACATCTCGTGTTTGAAATAATTCTCCTCTAAAGATTGGATGCCAATTTAATTATCCAAAATAGAGGTGTCATCAAGGAAAATCCTAGAGGTTCATAATGGAAAACGCTTGAGTTATTCTCAGGAGGATAGTCTCACTAGTGAATCAAGAATCAGTGCTATGTAGATTGTCTAGTAGTTATATCGTCAATAAGAATCTTCTAAAAAATGTTGTTAGAAGGAGGTTTTCGACGGCAAGATGCATGTTAATATTAAAAAAGTCACATCGCTTCCCAATTGAAAGGTTGAATTTATGTCTACTTGTTTATTCATATAAGAGTGTTTGGAAGAGCAATGTTTAATAGGGTTTATAGATAGAGAGAGAGAAACTAAATATAATGTTTGGGAAAGAGATAGTTATTTTGACTAATTGTAGTAAAATAACACTACAGAAAATTTGCTCATTATCGGCAGTTTTTGCCGGCGGTTTACTTGTAAATACCAGTAGTTTTGAATAAAACCGGCGGTTGTCACACCGCCAGAAAAAATGGCGTCGGAAATCGTTGCCGACGGTGTTTTTCCGACGGTTTATTTCCTCGATGGCTTTCCGGCGGCATACACCGCCAGTTATCGCTGGTGTTGTTACCGGCGGCTTCTCGGCCGTTCGATCGCCTGTACAAATATCGTCGTTCGACCGCCGGTAGACCGTCGGGAAACGTACCGGCGGCTAACCGGCGGTCATAGCCGAAGGCATTGCCGGCGGTTGTAGCCGCCGGCGTGTCTCCAAACAACCATCGGACAGCATCGGTAAACCGCCGGTAAAATACTGGCGGTTATAAGAGATTTCGGGTGGCGTCAATCAGCCGTCCGGTATCGACGTTTCCGACGGCTAAACCGCCGGTTAGCCACTGGAAACCTATAGCACCGGCGGCTTTTCGGCGGTTGTCACACCACCAGAAAAAACGACATTGGAAATCGTTGCTTGCGGCATTTTTCGGACGGTTTATTTCCCCGATGGCTTTCCGGCGGCATACACCGTTGGTTATCGCCGGTGTTGTTACCGGCGGCATGTCGGCCGTCCGACCGCCGGTACAAATACCGTCGTTTGACCGCTGGTAGACTGCCGGGAAACATACCGGCGACTAACCGGCAGTCATAGCCGCCAGCGTGTCGCCGAACAACCGCCGGACAGCGTCAATAAACCATCGATAAAATACCGGTGGTTATAAGAGATTTTTGACAGCGTCAATTAGCTGTCCGGTATCAACGTTTCCGGCGGCTAAACCGCCTGTTAGCCGCTGGAAACATGTAGCACCTCAAAAAAAAAAAATGCCAGCCTTTCCTCTATTTGAGGGATTTTCACCCTAAACTCTAAACATTCACAGAAAACAATAACTACAATTTTGGGCAACACGCCACTATAATCCATCACAGCATAATAATTATCGCAAATGTATTCATAAATTAAACCAAACAAAACAATAAATAAAATCAAAGTTCTAATTTCACAAGTTCAACCAAGTTCATTAAACCAAAGTTCTAAGTTCAATAAGTTTAACCAAATAAGTTTACAATCAATTCATCATAAGTTCATGAAACATAAAAAAGTGCTAATCCTCAGCTATATCCTCACTGTCTCGAGATGCATGTGGCTGCTCTGTCTCTTGCTCTTTCTTCCTTTGATTTTCATCTCTGTTGGATTGCAGCTCTACTTGCATTTCATTTTGAATCTTTCTTATCTCTTCAATCTCTCTAGTCAGCGCTGCAACCCTCTGGCTTATAGTTTCATCAGCTCCACTTGGATCACAAAATGCTGAGGTGGATGAATTGCCCTCATAAGCATAGCCCTGTGAACCCAAGCCATATACCCTCCCCTCTGTCTTCCACCAACAACATCTGACCATGTATGATACTCAGAAATCTCAGTCGATCCTGAATATGATCCCTCACCAGTGGACTGCCGACTTTCCCAAGCTCGTACAAAATCATCATGCAAGAATAAATCTATAAAATATATTGATATTACAATTAATTTTATTAAAATAATTTAATATTCCCAAACTCCAAAAAATTATACTCGCATGAGCCTTCTTAGCCTTTTCATCAACCCACTGATGGTCAGCTTGATGTTGATGAGTTCTTGTATGCAACTCCAGAGTTGTTGGCTCCCGACCAAGGTACTCTTTCTGAAAATATAAGATATAGTTATAATAACATAAATATATTTAATAAACTAATTTAAAACTCTTACCAGTTATCGTCTATGTTCCGTATGAGAAGCAGATCCACTAGTATGAAGAGAGCTTCCTAAATCCCCACAGTCAGAGGCTCTGTTCTGCTTATTCTGCTCTCTTATTTTTTTGAACTTAGGGGTCGCCCAAGCTCTACTTAGATCAGCCCATATGCCCTCTCCAATCCATATTGGACGCTGCCCGGACTTTCTAATGTACGTGAACATGTCCCTGAGATGGGTCGCTCCTCTCCTCTCAAAATTGATTATGATCCTCGTGCTATGCTCAGGTAACCATCTAAATTCTTTTTGTAAAAATTTATGCATAACCAAAAAGATTAATACAAATTAAATCAAACATTTGAATTCATACCAAATAAGTATACCTGAAATTCTCCAAACCACATATCCCTAACCTCCTTTGGAATCTTCTTCCATGATAAATAAGGATCATCATATTTGTTCTTTATAATATCCTTGATCTTATGTGTAGGTGGTCTTGAAGGATTGAAGCTGCAGGTTATTTTTTTGTCAATAACATATAATATATCAAAATACAATTAACTTAATAACATAAGCTGAACATACTTATCGCCCTCAGGCTTAATGTATCGACGCTTATCTGCTGCAGCTGCATGATCCCCAGCACTAACCTCTGCTGGTCTAAATGGTCCACTGTGTTCTGGCTGCACCGAATATAGATAATAATATAGATAAGGGTAAGGAGGGTGAGGACCAGTGGATGGATCTGCTGCCTGTGATGATGGTGGGGGGGTAATATGGATAGAATGGAGCCGTATGTGTCTGATCTGGAGAGAGAAAGTGAGGACTCGTTAAGGGAGGAGGGAAGTAGCCAGGCAAGGGTGGTGGTAAAACAGTAGGTAGATCTGATTGACCCTGACCTTGCTCACTCGAGGACTGCTGCTGGCTCCTGGGTGGTGGTGGTGTAGGTATAACCGGTGGAACTGATCTTTGTCCCTCACCTTCATCAGGCTGTTTGGCTATGTTGGGAGTAACACTCAGCTTCTTCCGGCGGAACTTTGAGCCAAATGATTTACGAGAAGGATCGTCACCTGAAGCCATTTGCATTAAAAGAAATAATTAGTAAATCATTGTAATATATAAAAAGTACAACTCTACAATTCTAAATATTACAGAATACAAATAAAAGAAGCAATTAATAAAGCAATTAATGAATTACAAAAATAAAGAATGTCAGAATACAAATAAATAATTAATATTTTTATTGCTTAGAATTCAAAAAGTAAAATTTTAAATATTACAAAATGTAAAATTCTATAATTCTAAATTATAAAAACTACAATTCTAAATTACATATCGATCCTTTTGGTCGTACTTTATTCTTAACATATTTTTTCAACATGTTCAAATATATATTAAACAATTACAATTATTAAGTTAATAAAAATATGTTATCTCAACTTATTCAAAAATATTGGAGACTTAATAAAAATATATTTTACCTCTCAAAAGGATACATCTAATGATATTGTACTGGTCCACCAACTCTAGCTTCGTATGATAGATGGACTGGAAGATGTTCCATAGAATAAAAAAAACTCGGGAAAAATATTTTTTTTAACTTGTAGAGGATGATTGGTATGCTATTCTCGCTCCTCCGTAAAGCATCTTGGCTTAGTTTAGATGAACATAAGTTTTTGAAGAAAATGCTAAGCTCAGTCAACGGATTTGATATGTAATCGGGTAATATACATACTATGATCGAAAGAAGAACCTCCATACTTATGTGACAATCATGACTTTTTAGTTCAAATAGCCTCGCAGATTTCATGTCAACACATCGGCTTATTTATGTTCCATAGCCATCAGACATTTTTAAACCTTTAAACCACTAACATATTGATCTTTTTTGCTCTAACGTGAAAGAGTACGGTGCTTTGGGCTTCATTGTTTTGCCGTTAGTTGTTATTACTAACTCCAAATTTTTTCACTGGCAGTACTCTTTATTGTCCATCCTTGATTTGATATTATCTTTATGTTCCATAGCCATCAGACATTTTTAAACCTTTAAACCACTAACAT